ACAACCGAATCAACAAAAATAATATTCTGGGGGATATTCGTAGTTGTTGCAGTGGTGAAAAATGTTCCTCAAAAGTTTATTGTCTTATATCCATACCGTCAGCGTTCCTATTGATTATATCTGTTTCAAATCGATTACAAATATTTGTAGTGCAAATTGAATGGGAAAAAGTTATTTTCATGTAATTAAATGTTCATGAGACAGTGATTGTTTCGAAAGGTTTCATTTTCTTTCGTGTAATCCAATGTTCATGTGAAAGTAGTTGTTTCGAAAAGGTGTTTCCTTCTAGTTTGTATCTGAAAAAAACTTCTGTGTAAACTTAACATACATATTCTCATAAAGATTTTCAATTGTAGCTATTTTATTTCTTCCTTTCTTTGGAATATTTCCACATTCTTTATTCAACGATAGAAACATAGAAAGCTATCAAAAAACAATTCTGAACATCTTTCAAAGTATAATTTAATATGTCAGACTATCCAAGGTCTGTAAATAACACATCAAACGAAAGCAACTTATGGAATACACAAATACACACAGACAGGGCAATAAAAGCTTATAAATCAGACATTGTCCTGAAATATAAAAAATATACTCGCTAGATTCCATCAGACTTCAATATAACGACAAAAGAGGCTGATAAATTTCTTAAACATAAATATATTACTTCTTACTGTTTTTTTAAGTATATAACTTTCCGCAATCTGAAAAATTAACAAAGCTAAATCAATAGAGAATATGCTGAAGTGTAATACAGGACAAATTGAAAAGTCCAATTAGTCAGTAACTTGTATTCATAAATTTTGCCTACAAAATGAAAAAATTTTAATATTCATACTTAGCTTCCTTTAGTGGCCAGCGTTTCAGAAAACAATCATTTTTCATTTTCAAAACCTGAAATTCAATGTCACGTTTTTTATGTCACGGAATAAGTTTGATCTACTTATGTCATCGATGACATCATAATGCCATTCATTCACCTATTTGATTGAATCCCAGCCAAAAGGAATATTGTTTAATTTGAAAGGGTTATATTTTTACGAGTGACTAATTTTTGGGAAAGTTTTTGGCTTTTTACTACTACTATAACCCTTTCAAATGATATACTGATGCTTTTTGAGAATTCAGTTAAGGTTCATATTACCGTTTCCAACCTCTCTTCTTAGTAATGGTATCCAGGTACGATCCGTTTCCACAGAGATATTTGAAATACAATTGTTACCTGCTCAAAGAATATATGCGGAGTCTTTGAGTTTTCTAATTTTTTCATAAGTTACTTTGGAAATCATTTTTGTTTGACTCCATTCTATAGCGTGATCACCAGTTGATTTTAGAATATGATCCGCTATCTCAGATCCTGTCCTGTCTTCCCCTGATATTTTCACGATGTTAATTTTTTTCTCACATCTAGGGGTCTTGAGGTTTCACCTATATAATTTTTTTACAGGAACAAGATATATTGTAAATACAATCTCTCGTTTTTTTAGCCGTATTTTCGGGTTTAGTTTGTATCAAAAGAAATCTCAATTTGTTGGTACGTAATTCTAAAAGTTGTTCTTACATTATATCTATAACCCATGCGTCTCAATTTCTCAGACAAACTGGGAACAGTACACATATATGTTGTTGGGTATGTGGTGATTGTGATATATATTGTCCTCTGAGACCAATTTTCTTGTAGATGTTCGTACATAGCAGATTTTTTCTCTACATCGACGTGTTCACCGAGTCTTATTTAGAAATTTCTACCGGTCTGGCCTGTATATACTGCAGAGCATTCACTACATTCTATTTAGAATAGATTCTATTCTATATATGACAGATTTCTTCATTCTGTCACGTCTAGGTTTTGCATTAAATGATGATTTTGCCTAAATTATTATTACTTATATACATGTCATGTCTATGTCAATACCATAACGAATGTTTGGAAAAAAGTTATTTCAGTGTAATTCAATGTTCATTTGAAATTAGTTATTCAGAAAATCACGATTAGTTTACCGCGAATTTTGATATTACGAAAGAAACTGATAATTATATTTTATTCCAAAATTGACAATTGTGAAGTTATTTTATTGGACAGTTACGTTACAAGTCTAGTAATAAGACTTGTACCCAATTGAAAATACGAGCAAATAACATACTCTAAGAACTGCTTATAAGCTACTACATAAAAATGTTCTAAGCTTTTACAAAAAATGGATGGACCTTAGATATGATAAGCGGGTGATCAATCGGGAAAGCAGGGTCCAGGCGGTACAAAGGTACAAAATTGAGAGTGGCAGGAGAAGCCAAGCGTTTGACTGGGCCTGCACCTTCCAAAGATCATAAATGTTCATTTGGAAAAAGTCACTTCTTGTACATAATACATCAGGAAGGTTTTATAACATACGAGTAGAAGGCCTAGACCGTATACTTTCAAGAAAAAGATTACAATTTTACAATATCAAAAATGTTTCCCTTGTTGTTTGAACAGGCATGACAACAGGACATTGAAAAGAATAATGGGAAGAGATATTGCCAAATATTCACTAGCATTTATGGCAGGAAAGATTGAAATGATCACAATTTTCCACCCAGACATATACATCGATGAACTTATTGTGCTTCCACCATTCAATAGTCTTTCTAAATTATATAATCACATATTGTTGAGAGCACAATAGACCCAGATCAATAAATCAATTACGGATATAGTTCATTATTATTAAAATAATTCTGCAACATGCCGCTCCTATTCATTAGTATTCTTGTAAAAAAATGTTCGACAAAGAAATACGATGCCGCTGATTGTAAAGTTTTGATCAATTCCTATTTTGAATAGACAGATCGTTGTACAAAATGTCAAAACGAACATAAAAAATCTCGTAAACTTCAATAATATTTCGAAACAAATGGGCCACGGTTATTTTACCACTAATTACCATATGAATGGCCCATCAATTAACGAAAAAAAGAGATCGTGCCGGCACCCATAAGCGGTGCCGCGTCATTGCGCAATTACCTAGTTTAAATTCGCATTGAAACTGATCCGGTTTGTATGAACTGAATCACGTGCAATTTTCATCAACAACAGGACCGGCCGGCTTCCAACAAGGTTCGAACCAGATGCTGTAGAAAGAAACAAATTAATAAATTAATTCTTCTCTCAATCGTAATACCCTGAGAGATGATGACATATCTGAAGAAGGTAATTTTGACAAATGGAAATAGTGTAATACCATTTTGCAAATTTCGAGTCCGTTTTCACCGAAAATTATGATTGGTTTTAAAAAAGATTCAATGAACAAAATAATTTTATAGAAATAATCATGTATCATTACGTGAAATTTTTCATTTAATTTTTTCTAACAAATTGATACATTGATACGAATTGATAATGATCAAAAATTAAAACTTGATAAATAAAAGCCACGAAAACATTTATAAAAAACGATATTTTTGTCAAAATTCACTATTTATAATAATGACTTCATCTCACATTGTAATTGTTTTCAAACTAAAATAATGAGAAATTAACATAAATTATAGTGACTTTAATTAGTTCGGACTTCCATTGTCATCTGAGTTAATCTACAGTTACGAGAATTGAAAAGATGGTACAATAGTACAATATTTCTGTAATTTACTGTAGATGGCGTCCAAATGAGATCAGTTAATTTAGTATTTAGTATTTTCAATACTATTATTTGAATTCCTATAAAAGTCGAAAGTCCAACTGCGCTCTTGCCTCCGCAAACTCAAGAGCTATTCATTTCCACCTGGGCTATACTACTATTGATTACGCACGTTAAAAGACAAAACCTTGTTATTCTTTTGCTCAGACAAGTTTTGACTTTTGTGGGTTGTCGTTAGTGGAAGGGTGATAGCTGGCTAACAAAAATATACAGGGTGTAACTAAATAAGTGTAAAACATTTGAGAAGGTGATTCCTCATCGAAAAAAAAAGATCTTTCATATAAAGAAATTTCATTGGAGCATCCCTTGTTGAGATACAGCTCCTTGAATAGGGTACATAAAATTTGTATGACATTTTTTTTTCACAAGCACTAAAAAACTTACAATGTTGAAATTAACCTGACGTTTTGTACTACCAAAGAGACATTTAGCCAGAAATTTATTTGGTTCACCCCATG